AAATCTTCATTCAATATAAATTACGCTTACACAGTTCTCTATTTTGTATCAAGTGACAATTTCCTAAAATTTTAACAAAATCTTAAATGTTGTAAGTAAAATATGAAGGAGTCCTATAAACACCCTGACCTCATTCAAGGGACCCTGTGCAGGGAGACTAGAGATTTCTGGCACCGTTCATTCAAACTAATGGTGCCCCTGGGTATTGGTCTTGTCAACCAATTCAAAGTTTGTGTTCTGAGACAAACAGGCTGCAACCCAATCTTGGCAAGCTCTTGGGATGATCATAATCTAGGCCAAAGATGATCAAAGGAAAAGAAGTGTACAGGCTGTTGGAAACAGCTGCGGAGGGGGTGGGGGGTCCCACTTTGAGCCAAAGCTAGCATCCAGACATGTCTGGGCAAGTCCAGTGAAAGGGAGAGGTTCACCTGCGTAGCTTCTCATAAGAAAAAAATCCATCACCAGGGAGGAAGAGATGCAGCACAACACAACCACCAGTCCCTGAGCCTAATCACAGAAGGAAGGCTTTAGTGCAAACAGGACTTGGCATCTGTCACTCGAGTCACCCCAAGTTGTGTCATGGACGCCCATTTGGGTCCTAGAGGAGAAAGATGATGAAAGGAAAGCCTCAGAGAACAGCGTCATTGAAACCTCTGTGACATATTCAAGTACAGGGCCCTTCCGATTTGGGATTCCTGTGATTGAGTAAAACCACCCAAAACAGAAAGTGATGTTGGTCCCTCCCAATTCCCCTCCACACTGCTTTATCATCAGAGGCTTCCAGGACGTTAGCAGTGATACACAATAAAAGAGGGTGGAAGTTGAAAGTAGTAGCCATGCTAGGTGGAAAAGCAAGGTGCCCATGAAATGGCAGCGGTGCCAAACAAGAGGAAACAATGGCAGACAGACACAGTAGGAGATGGACTCTTACCCAGTCCAGGAAAATCATATTTCCTCTATCATGAACTCTGACCTGCTAGGAGGACTGGCCATCAGTATCCAACACTAGACAGTATAAAATAGCCCCCTAATAGACAAGGCATGGGTATATTGTATTCTCTGACAAACGAATTCATATACTGGTCAAGTAGAAAGAAAAAGTGCTTGGCCTCTTACAGATACAATGAGTTATATTTAATCAAGCTTCTCCTGGAATAATATCTGGCCAGGTTCAGAATCACTGTCTGGTGATCTTGGCCAGAACATGTGATCAAGAGGCCAGAAGAGGGAAGGTACCTCAGTGAGGCAGCAGCTGGATGGAACGCTTGCCTGGTCATGTACAGCTCTGTAACTATGACAACACTCTTAGCAACCACAGACCTTTTTTTCCCAAGAATGATGGAGACCCAGGACTGGACAGGTCAAATCCTTAACCTTATTGAAAGGAATGGAAAAAAGTTCTATCAGAGCAACATAATTAGTACCTTATTTCAGAAAATGATACAGATAGGACTGGGTTGAGGACTGGGTTTTTTAGACCCAGTAGCTAGGACAGAAGTTCAAGTGCTTGTCAGAACTTCCCTCAGTGCTTCAATGGAAACCAAGGATAGTCTCCTTGGAACTCCTAAGAAGCTAAAAGAAGAAGAGTGGAAGGTCACCTTTAATTGGAAATCAAAGGAAAGCCAACCCACTCAAAATAGCTGTCAGGCCTTTAGTGGTGAGTGGACCAAACACGAGCCACTCAGAACCTGCCCCAAACTCTCTCCAAAGACCAGTGTTGAAGGGAAAATTTGGGGGTGGGTGGGGGAGAGAAATGTCTAGGACTCAGGGAGGCAGTAGTTCAGAACTATCCACCATTTTATTATACCAGGCCAACTGGAAGGTGATGGCAATGTCTTGAAAACAGGCAGATTAAGTGAAAGCCTGCATACTGAAGGCGGACCCCTTTTTTGACCAAGAAATCCAGAAAAATCATATTTTAAATTGATAGATGTTACTTATAAAAAGCCTCATCCATCAGGACTACAGTTTGGTTACCAAGTTCATAGAACTGATATAAACAAGTAGCTCAAAGTATATGACCACCTCATTATCAGAACATTGCTAGTTCTGATTGGTTGAATATATTTGTGATCAGAACAATGTGTGGCATATTCACAAGTGTGTAGACTATAGATATTGCCCTTGCAGTGAAGTATTTTTCTTTAGTTTTAGTCAGGACATAAAATTTTGATTTGTACTAAGTAGCTATCTGATAAGGTCTGTTCAGGGACTCTGCGGATGAGACTCCAAAACCAAATGTCTCCATCTCCCTCCAAAAATTGCTAAGGTGGAAAATACACTTAACATTTATGTTACATACATATTTTATTAAAATGCACTGTGTGAACATTCATGCACAATGAGTATTTTGTATTTTTGTTCTAGGAAAGTGTTTCCAGTGGTCTAGGACAGAGCATATGATCTCCTAAGCCTTTTAACTGATCTGGCCCGAGATGACCTTTAGGCTCAATTCTTGTTCCCTCTTTTGCAAACCCTCCCAAGCAGACTCTAACTTTGCAATCACAAGTGGCCCACATCCCTAGGATCAGTGGTTCCTAGAAAACAGTTGCTGTCATTACAATAGTAATAAAACATGCCATGGTGGGGAACTTGAGCAACCACAAGAAGGTAAGGATTCAAAATCCATAGTTCTCAAAGGCTCTAATGGGCTTGACTTTAAAAAGCAGAAGAGCTCTCAAAACTTGGAAATAAAAGGAGCAGTGTGAGCACCAAAACCGTTCATAGCAAAAATTGTAAATTACTCTATTCTCAAACATTCCCAATGCCAAAGGGTACACAGGAATGGAGGAAGAGACTCTCAGTTATACACGTATCCCAGTGTTGTGGGCAAAAGACTGCAAATCTTTGTAAAGAGGCTGGGGCGCCTGGGTGGCTCAGTCCTTAAGCGTCTGCCTTCGGCTCAGGTCATGATCCCGGGGTCCTGGGATCGAGCCCCGCGTCAGGCTCCCTGCTC